ATTCTTAAAGGTCTATACATACTGTCTTACTATTAACAGTGACATTTAGATGTCCAGGTAAAGTCAGAGAAATTCTGTAAATACAGCACCTGTGTATTTTTAAAGTTCCACAGGCAATTCTTTCTGGTTTTGGGAACTACTGACAAAATGTAGTGCTAGAATGATTAGGGTTGAGGCTTTTTACACTGATTGACTGCCCCAATTGCACTGTTTTCTCTTATTTCTTAACAGTTTCTTTAAATGTCTGTCCACTGTCTGCATAGGTCTTGTACTTGCTCACTGCAATCATAAAAAAAAAGTACGAACCCCCAAAGTCCTAACCCCAAATTGGAAACCACTCACTATGGCTTGAATATGTTTCCTTGTCTCCATCAAATCTCTCATTGAAATCTGATCCCCCATGTGGTGGTGTGGGAGCTTAAGGGGAGTAGGCTTTGGCCACAGAGGATCAGTCATGAATAGATGAACATCTTCCCACAGGGATGAATGAGTTTTCATGGGGTTCCATGAGAATGGGTTGTTAAAAAGACCTTGGTACTGCCCTCCTTGCTCCCTCTCTCACCAGCCCCCCTTTACCTCTGCCATGAGTAGAAGCAGCCTGAGGCCTTCACTAGATGTAGTACCCAATCTTGAACTTCCCAGCCAACACAATTGTGAGCCAAATAAATCTTTTTTCTTTCTAAGTTATCCAGCCACAGGTATTCCTTTACACCAGCGGTTCTCAACCTGTGGGTTGCGACCCAGAGGAACTGTATTAAAGGGCCGCTGCATTAGAAAGGTTGAGAACCACTGCTTTACACCAACACAAAGCAGACTATTACTCTACCTGTCATTGTAATAGTAAGGCAGTTATGCATAGATTCCTCAACAGTAGAATAAAGAATTAAACTGAGGGGTATTCACAGAATGAAATGCTATCCTGCAATGAAAATAAACAATTTCATATACAGCATTGAACAAACAAAGCCAGACACATAAAAAATGTGCACCGCATGATTCCATTTATATATGACATACAAAAATGGCCAAAATTCATCTATGATAAAGCTGCTATCCCCTGAAGGCAGGGGGTTGGGTAGGAACTGGAGGAGGAAATAAGAAGTTTTTTGTAGTGATAATAATATTCTATTTCTTTTTCTTTCTTAGATAAATTCTTTAACTTTGTTACCCTGGGAAGAGTGGTATGGCATCATAGCTCACAGCAATCTCAAACTCTTGGGCTCAATAGATCTTCTCGCTTCCCGAATAGCTGGACTACAGGTGCCCACCACAATGCCCGGCTAATTTTTCTATTCTTAGTAGCAACAGAGTCTTGCTCTTTTGCTTAGGCCAGTCTTGAAATCCTGAGCTCAGGTGATCCACCCGTCTAAGACTCCAAAAGTGCAAGGATCTATTTTTTTAATATAAGCACAGTGTTAAAGGTGTGAAAATCCATCAAGCTGAATAGTCATGAAATGTACATTTTCCTTGTGTGTATTGTACTTTAATTAAACAACCAAATATGGCATATCCATAAAATATATTCCTTTGTCCTTAGAAAGGAGGGATGTTAGTACACTTGGTAAAACATAGGTGGACCCTGAGAAAATTACTCCAAGTGAAATTACCCAGTCTCAAAAGGGCAAATACTACACATATGATTCTACTTAATGAGATATCTACAATAGTTACATTCTTAGAGACAGAAAATAGAAGGATGATCACCAGGGGATGGGAGATGGATAGTTATTGTTTAATGGGTACAAGGTTTCAGTTCTGAACATAGGTTGAAAAACAA